TAGGTAAAGTGGTATATATATAAAATCTTAAGTGTTAGATATATAAATACATAGGCGTTGAGTAGTATGCACGTAAAGCTTCCTTGTTAAATTGTGATTGCTAAAACTCCCCTAGCACTGTTGTTTATTCTTTGACTGATTGGTACTATTCATTCCTCCCATCAAAGTTTGAAATTGCAATAACACACACACACACACACACACACACACAAAGGTGCACACACACACGCACACACACATATATAGATATGTATGTATATATGTATTTATATATCAACAAACACAGGTATTTTATAGGTTTATACATTTGATTTGTGATTAGATATTTTTTTTTGGGCCATTTACTTATATACCACTCAATTCTTATGTATTTACATATCTAATGCATTAACTTTAATTTTTTACTTTTATACCACTCAAATCTTTCATATCATATAAAAATATCACCCAATGTGACTCAAAATTGTAAATTGAAGTTTAGGTGTTCGATAGAAAAATATCACCACAGCTGCCCTCCACCATTCCTCAATCTTCCCACATCGCTTCCCTCCTACTTCCTTCGCTTCCACCACCCGAAACTGCTACAAATCCCTGTTTTCTTGTAGCATTGAACCTTCCCAGCCACCTACTCCTCTTCCAGACTTGCGGTTGTCTCTGGAAAGTCACCCCACTGCTGCCCTCCCTTATTTCATTCCTTGGGACAAAGGATTCTTGCTGATTATAGTTGACAATAATTTCCTGCTTGCTGCCTGTCACGGACTAATTTATCTCAAGTCACCCGTGCAGCTTTAGCGCTTTTTCTTGGCACTAAATGATTCCAACCTTCACAATGCTAGGGCTTTAAGCACAAAGCACTCTCTTAGAAGAGAATAGGGATTGAAGAAAGAAACACTTCACTAAGAAAGAGTGATTACAACATTTGAATGTTTGGGATCTTTGAATAGATTCAAATGAGGGGGAGGGACTCTTATTTATAGTCCCCTTCAAGCCTAAGAGAATATTCTATAATAGTATAATTTCTAGATAGTTCTACATCATTCTTTTTATATATACATAGCCTTAGATCTTTCTATGTTATTCTTGAGTTCTCCATGGACCTTTTCCTTTTAACATTCTCTAGAATGTGATGGAGTTTTCTAGAGTTACTTGGGTTGCTTTTCTTCTTTTGGACTTTTCTAGAATCTTCCATCCCATGGTTGTCTTGCCAATTTCTTTGATGAAGGTAGAGTGTGACACTCTCCCCCACTTAAGCTCGCCATGCCCTCATTGCGCCATTATCTTGATACTGCCGATCTTTTGTTTGAATTGTTATAGCTTGTCATTCTCTCAGCTAGCTTCGCTATTAGGCAATCCTCTCCACTTGATGAGATACTCCTTGTAGTTTGGCACCCCTCGTCGTCTGATCTCCCTGTCTGTCAGTATTTCTTCTACTTCTTCATCAAAGGAGTGGATTACAGCTGTAGGCGCTCACTTTGAAATCCCTCTTAAGGGGTCATCCATGTCTTCATGATAGGGCTTCAACCTGCTTACATGAACGATTGGATGTATCTTTAGTTTTGGTGGAAGATTAAGTTTGTAGGAGACATTTCCCATTTGCTTCATTATCTCGAATCAACTCTTTATAGATCTTTCAAAATGTTTGGAATTGTTGGGGTAGAAGTTTTATAAGGACTAGATCTCCTTCTTTAAACTCAACATGCTTCTACTTTTTGTTTGCCCACTTCTTCATCCTCCTTACAGCTTTGTGCAATGTTGCTCGATCTAGCTTCCTTTGCTCAGTCCAAAACTTGGCAAACTTCAAGGCTGCTGGACTTTTTCCTTTATAGTTGGTTGTAAGGGAGAGTCATGAGTTGTTGTTCCATGATTATCTCAAGAGGACTTTTGTTGGTGGCTTCACTTGTTTGTAAATTGAAGGAGAATTGCGCCACATCCAACAATTTGGTCCAATTTTGTTGATTTGCACTCATATAGTGACACAAATATAGCTCTAAGAGGACATTGATCCTCTCAGTTTGTCCATCACTTTAAGGATGAAAGCATGTAAAAAAGTTTAGGTCGGACCCAAACATTTTGAATAGTTCAGTCCATAGTATTCCAGTGAAGTAAATATAGCTCTAAGAGGACATTGATCCTCTCGGTTTGTCCATCACTCTAAGGATGAAAGCTCGTAAAAAAGCTTAGGGCGGACCCAAACATTTTTAATAGTTCAGTCCATAGTCTTCTAGTGAAGCAAGGATCTCGATGGTCGATAATGCTTTGTCGTATATTTCACAGCTTTTCCACATTGCAGAGAAAAAGCCTTGCAACTTCTTCGGTAGTACAGTCGACGGGAGCATTCCAAATCCATTTGACTTTGACAAGATGGAGATGAAGTCTATAGAGATGCTCTCTCATAGTCTCCGAAGGATGGGTATTGGTTCCAACAACTCCCCTGGTTGTTGAAGGATAACCTTGTCTTGTTGGCAAACAAGACAAGTGCGAACATATTCTTCTATCCCATTTTTCATCCTTGACATAAATTGAAATCAACAATCATAAAAAACCTTCCCACCCTAGACAAACACAACATAATATAAATGATCCTAGCACAAATAAATGGGAAGGAATTTGAAGTTGTGATAGAAGTGGAAGGTGGTAGAAAAGTTAGTAAATGAATATGTAGGATTTGGAATTGGAAAGAATTTGGCATAGGAAAGAGGACATAAAGGCAAGCACTAGAATATGAAGGAATTGGAATTGGATAGAAATAGGAAAGGGGATGGAACATGATAGGAGAGGGGGAGGGAATGGCTGGTCTGCGACACTGTAACAGTTGCAGTAACACCCCCGCTATAGTAGCAACCGTACCGCCCCCGCGACATTGTAGCAGATACAATACCGTGTCCGCGACATTATTATAGCTACAATACTGCGATCTGGTAAGCTCCCGTGTCACATATGTAGTGAATTAACAACTTTCTTATTTAAGAAAAGAGATGAATATATTATTATTATAAGAACGAATATAATAAAACACAATGATTATTTTTTTATGAGAAAAGAGATCGTTAGAATGTAAGGATTATAAGATCATTCCAATTGAAAATTTAAGTACTCAACATCGATTATTAGTCTTAGATTTTAAGATGAGGAGGTGAAAGATAAAAAATACAATGAAAATTTGTCATAGAATTAGTTTTATTTTTTTGTCGTATAAATACAAATAAAAAATACATGGAGACGCTTAAAATACAAATAATTTTATTTTTATGAGTAAACTATAAAATTTTAAGATTTTGGATGTTCATGAAAAAACAAATTTTATGTGGGATAAAGTAACAAACATTATTAAACAAACGACAAAAGATCTACTCGGAGAATCAAAAGAAAAAAAGTTTTTATAAATATAAAAAGTTGGCGGTGGTATAATAATATGCTAGAAAATATAAAATATAATAAATTTTGCTCTAAAATATGGTTTAAATGTAAAGGTTTAGATAACTGTGAAAAATATAAAGGAACTTGTAGGGAGTCTAAAAAATAATTTGTGACACTAAGAATTTAGTTTTTAGTGATTTTTATAATAGACTAGATATTAAAGAGAGTGAAATATATATATAAATATATATATATATA